TCTGTCCATCCTTGACCCTTCGTAGCACAAAGTTTCCACACTCCCAAGGAAAGGCTGGTTCATTTGGTTTTCTGTTTCTCTAGGTCTGTTCTCCCCACATGGGCTGCAAGGACCACACAGACTGAGATCATGCCTTGTTTCTACTGACATCTTCTCTCGCACCGTCAGCAGGCTCTCTCCATGCTGTTTCAAGGCTCTCGTCAGGCTCTTCTTGATGTTCCAAGACTGTGTGTTCTGTCCAACATGAGAGTGGTACGATTTCTGGGGACAAAGTGTTCTTCGGTCCAGCAGGTCTTTGCCTTTGGCCCTATCCAGCTGGGTCAGCACTGGCCATCCCGAGTGCCCCTGCCATGCACAACTCAGGCTGTCCCACGTCACCTGCTGAACATGCATGTGGAACAGTCACCTGGTGGAGTGTCTGCCCAGCATTTCTGGCACCAGTGCCTTCTTTGTTCAGTGGCACTTGCTCAGGAAACTATTTCAATAATTCTCTGCATTTTCCTCATCTCTGTTCAAAATCACTGGAGGATAGAAAGGCCCAAGGTGCTACTGCATGTAATAAGGAGCAGAGATCAAATGAACTTAATTCAATTCAACTGTCATTTGAAAGAAAGATGGAAATTATTAGCTAAGCTGCAAGTATGAGAATCTTAAATTGTAATCAGATGCTCCAAGAACACAAAGACTGTGTGTTTAATTATAAAGGAAAAGAACAAAGTGACAAAGCATGAAAAAAATGGCAGAATTATAGAACTGGATTGTGTCTCCAAGACAAGATGTAATTAGAGATTTTATAATACTGTCTAGCTTTATGAGAACCGAACTTCATGCATAACAGATGAATGTGTTGTGCAAATTCAACTCTTCTACGTGTTTTCGGGAAAGTGCTGTATGCCAAAGTGGAAAACTACCTGTAGAAGATAGAATTCAAGACTTTTTTTTGAAACTAAAATTGAGGACCCCTTTGTGAATTTGTGATTTGTTGGCAACAGAACATATCACACTTGACTTCAAAAAACCCACAAATTAGCACAGAAGCCAGATGTGAAAAGAAGTCACTAAAGTGATGAAGAAAGTGCTCTGGGAGAGGTGGGTGGTGAGTG